TCAGGAGGGAATAGTTGCTGGAGAAGGATATCATATTTGGTAAGACGGAGGGTCAGAGAAAAAGAGGAAGACCCCCAACGAGATGGATTGGCCAGGTGGCAGCATCGATGGACTCAAGTGTGGCAACAGTAGTGAGGTTGGCCCAGGATGGGACACTGTTTCGTTCTGCTGTGCATAAGGTCGCTATGAGTCAGTGCCGACTCAATGACACCTAACTACAACAACAACATAAGCATGTGTCACCTTACTTAATAACATTCATTGTTGCTGCCACTGAGTAGATTCCAACTAATGGTGACCTTATGTACAATTGAGTGAAACACTGTGCAGTTCTGTGTCGTCCTCACAATTGTCTGCATGTTCAAGTCTGTTGCTGCAGACTTTGTGCTAATCCATCTCACCAAGTCTCCCACGTCCTTGTTGGCCTTCTACTTCACCCAGCCTGATGTTCTCCTCTAGTGATCCCTCCTGATGACATGTCCAAAACAAGGGAGTCAGACAATGTTTGTTGTGATCCATAAAGTATTCATTGGCTATTTTTTGGAAATTGATCACCAGGCCTTTCTTCCTGGTCTGTTTTAGTCTGGATGTGTCTTTGAAACCTGGGTGAGCCTGCTAGTATTTGAATTGCCAATGACACCAGTTTAAGTATCATAGGAACATGCACCTCCACAGTAGGGCAAACTGGAAGATGAGTGGTGAAATTAATAAAATAAAACCTTCTAATTTAGAGTAGAATAAACACTCCTGGAAAGAAGGGGTAACTATATTCCACACTCTACATTTAGTCTCCTTTCCTACACCTAGCTCAAAACGTTCCGTAGCTCCCCTTTTTCCATGGAAAAAATAATCAACTTCGTTTCTAGGAATTCATGGACCTTCATAGTCATTAATTCCCACCCGTTTGCTTGGTACCCAAACAATTTGCTTGCGTATAAGAAACATAAGCTCTGGTAAGGGAAGGTTTCGCCTGGCAACACTGAGAATGGGTGAACTGAGTTTAAGATAAGTGAGGAAGGTGGTAAAATTTCCTGTAAGAAATTTTCCTGAGTGCTGACATCCATCGGTGACAGGCTACTGAGCAGCATTCAAGGAGTGGACACCAGGGGGTAGTAAAATCTCACTCTCCCAGCTATCAGGCATTAATTATAAGGTAGCTGGTGAGTCCCAGTGACTCAAGGACCCCTTAACCCCTTGTTGGAAAAGAATTCCAACTCTGGCTCTAACAAGCTGTATAGACAGACGATCACTTGGCTTTGCTGACCTAGATCTCTATTTATTTATTTTAGTAGTATGGAACAGAGGGCTCTTCTCTTCTCAAAGAAGGATGAACGTTTTCTCTCTACTCTTCCAGACTCAGCCGAGTGAGGAAAGGGCGGACTTAGGCGTGCTGCAGAGGTAAGAAAGAAAGAGATGAATTGGTTACCTTGGCAACGCCCTCGCCTTCCCTCCAGCTGCTCCAGCGACTGCCCAGAGGCCAGGCCTCCAGGCCTCCAAAGAACTGCATCCACTGTTAGAATATTTTCTAATTTTCTAAACGTCATCGTCCC